AAAGAAAACACAACAACATAATTTTTAAAAATGGGTAAAGGATTGAATAGACACTTGGCTAAAATTTAGGGATGGCAAATAAACAATGAGAAGATGTTCAACATCATTAACCGTTAGGGAAAGGCACTACAGACCTATTAGAATGACTAAAATTAAAAGCATTGACAATACCATGTGATGGTGAGGATATGGAGCAACTGGAACTCATGTATTTCTTATATGGGTAACGGAAATGTAAAATAGTACAGCCATTCTGTAAAATAGTACAGCCATTTTGGCAGTTTCATATATAAAGTTCAATATACACTTACCAAATGAGCCAGCAATACCACTCTGGAGTATTTATCCCAGAGAAATGAAAGCTCTGTTCATATAAACGCCTAAAATGGATATTTATAGCAGATTCATTCATAATTATCAAAAATTAGAAACAACCCAAATGTCCTCAGCAGGTGAATGGATAAACAAACTGTGATATTTCGTACAGTGGGCTATGTTCAGCAATAAAAATGTTGTTGATGCATGCAACAGCTTAGGTGAATCTCAGCGGCATTATGTTGAGTGAAAGAAGCCTGTCCCAAAAGTTTACATTCTGTAAAATCCATTTCTGTCACATTCTGGGAGACAAAAATATAGTGATGGGAAACAGATGAGTGGTTGAGCAGGATTGGGGTAAGGAAGGCTGTGAACATAAGGGATAGAACAGGAGAGTTTTGGGGGGCAATGGAACTGTTCTATATCTTCTGATGGTAGTTACACAGATCTATATGTGTGTTAAAATTCATAGAACTGTACACCAAAAGAAAAAAAGTGTTACTGTAAGAGGATTTAAAAAATACTTTTTAAAAATTTTGTAAGGGCATATGAATACATTCTTGTGGTTTACCTGTCAGGTTGTGTCTGTCCAGAGTAACCCCCAGGTACTCACATTGGCATTTCCATTGTAAATGTATCCCGTCACATTTTTACCCTGCAACCTGAGTCTCTCTTTCAACACTGCCCCAGCTGCCTCATTCCTTTTCAGATTCTCTGTGGATTTTCCACCCATTACTGTCTCTAAGCTGCTCTTGAGGATCTATAGTGTGCTGCTGGGGTGGGGCCAACGGGGTGTCCACATGCCCCTTGCTCAGGGTTTTGAAGTGAGCATGGCCATCCCAGCTCCTAGTGCCATGAGCAACCTCCCCACCCATTCCCAGTGGTCCTCATGTGACCTGGCCCAGTCCTGGTCCACAGCTCCCCACTTGGTTTCATGCCTCATTGGCATTTCAATGAAGGAACTTATTTTTAGAGGCTGTAGAAAATCTCAAAGTGGCATTGCCTGAATGCACATCCTGATTGTAGTGCCTGCTCTACTCTGCCCAGTGGGAGTTGCAAACAGCCTTTACGAGGGCAGATTTTTCTTGGAACCATTTCCAGGTGGCTATTTTTCTCCTGAGGATTTGTCTTATTAAGCTATTAGAGTGGACAATGGAGGCACGTGAGTGTCTGGGTGGCAGCAGGCTGCTCTGTTGGGACATGGAATAAAGTGCCATAAATGTCTTCCTTTATTTTATCTGCTTTGGCTCAAACTCCTGGCAGGGTAAAGGGTTCTAGACAGCTATTGTGTGCTTGGCTCCAGTTGCTGTGGAAAGGTTGTTTATTTCACAAGTAGAAAATCTATACCCAAATTAGATACATTGCTATGTAATTGAAGGTAACGTCCTTTTGCTCACTTACATGTTATACTGCACAGTACTTTGAATCTTGTGTTCATGCTACCCTTGCAGTTTTTATTGATCAACGAAAGACAAAGGTGGCTTTTGATTCTTTCCAGATGCAGCAAATTAGAATATAGACCTACAGGAGATTATTTTGTCATTAAAGAGAAGACAGGCTTCTTGAGTATTATCTTTCCCTGGGGCACATATTCTTGCCAACTTCAGGGTTGAAAATACTCTAATTTCTAAAAGCAGTAACCTAAAAGCTTTCTTCGTTGTCATTACTAAGCATGCCAGAGATGGCCACTGGAGAAAATTATTTCTCTTTCATTTCTCAGTATCTTTCACTCCCAGATTCTTATAAAGAGAGAAGTGTACAGGCAAGCAAGAGAGAGGGAGGGAGGGAGTTCATAGGAAGATGAAATCCATTGTTATCATTAGGCAGAGCCTCTTGTGTCTTAGATTCTATTTTCGAGACTTGAAAGGAAGGAGCATTTTAAAGCACTTTGGTAGCCAGTGTAGCACTTCGTAGATTTTAGTTATTCCTAACCAAATGCTCTCTTGCTGCTAATTTCTTTTGTCAAAAATGAAAACCCACTTACCATAATTCACATAAAAATCTCCTACATATTTAAAATAGTTAAGTTCAGACTTTTTTTCCCCCTCAGAGAAAGGGTTTCCATTCATTTAACAGTACTTTACCAAAAAGGACATGTTTTGTGAATTCAAATAATTTTCATTTTTTTCTTAGATTTTCTCTAAGTTTAACTCATCTTTAAGTTGTAGAGACTGAATTAAATTCATGTCCAAAAGTATTTACTGCTCACCTACCATATTAGATGCCAAGGTGTAAACGCTAAAGATTTGGTCCTCAAAAAGCATGTGATATGTTATTACTTCTTAGGAGGGAGTTAATTCAGTTGATTTATGCCAGGAACGTGTAAGGAGAAATCTGTGCTCTTAAAATTTGTTTTTCTTGAGTTCTGGTTTTTTTTTTGTTTTTTTTTTTAATCAAAGTAATGGTAAGCAGTAAAAGTGCAATTTACATGAAAAGCCTCATGTTTAAACTGTTTTTCATTGTCTTTACTTACAAGGGGTTATAAAGGTGGGACCCACTCTAAATCTTCTGTGTAATGGTGGAGTAAGGTACATATTGTTCTGGGGTGCCGCTCATGTTGAATTTATGGTTTGTCCAAATGAATTTACAAGCAGTATGTGGTTTTGCTGTTGGAGGATCATCAGTCATACAGTGAAGCCAACGATGCTGTTCAAGAGGCACCATGCTTCCATCCACCTCCCAGAGTGTGTTTTTGCCATTAATTTCAGTGGTATATGTAACCCATCAGTGACGGACAAAAAATTGCTTGCCGTTTTCATAGTATTTTTTCCGTATTTGTCTTCCCGCTAATGTGCCGACCGTCATGTCATTTGCCCTGAATAAGATTTGCGGATAGCCGAGGAGGCTGCCATGGCCTCAGACCTGCTGTAGCCCACACTTTAGGACCTGCAGTAACTCCATCTTGTCCCACAGGCCCTGGATTCTGTTTTTTAGTGACAGAGAAGAAGGAAACAGGTACCCCAAGCACTTCTTCTATGACAACCGCAGTGACTAAAATACCCTCTCATGTAGAGCCTGATACCAGCAGGGAGTTTTCCCCCACTGCGAATCATTTGATGTCCACAGCAACGCTGTGAGGTGGGCAGGGCAGATGCTGTTACCCATTTTCCAGGTGTGGCAACAGAGACTTGGAGAAGGTGGGGACTTGCTGGATTTCATAGGGGCTGTGATTAAAATTCAGTCTTCTGACTCGTAAGTCAGTGTGTTTTTATCCAAATGAGGGGTTACCAACCCTGTTAGCGCCAATGCTCCCTTTCTAGAACTATCTTGAAATGAATTTCACAGTCAGTGTTATGAACACATGAAATTTAAAAAAAAAATAACATAATTATCTAACTGTAATACAAAGGAGAAGTAAAGGAAAGTGATCTATAATCAAAGGATATGTATTTCAATATATAAATGATTGGGCATATCTAAACTAGAAGATAGAATGAATGGTCAGATGGTTGTTCCTAATCATAGAATCACTGTGAATACACTGTCTGCAAATGCAGATGATACATCTACATGTGTGTTCTGTGGGTAATAGGAGAGCACACATGACACCATCTATGATGTGGTTTTCTAGAACACTGAACATGCTTGCTAAAGTTCTGAACACAACAAAGTACAGTCTATGTGGTAGTTACATCCTGGAAAATTAGGACCAACTTAGATCGGTGCAAAAAATACTTTGAGTTTATTTGTAAAGTCAGTCAGGGTCTGGTCTCGGATCATTACAACCCGGTTTTCACCTACGTGACTGTCCTGTGGGCTATTCAGAAGTTGTGCAGGACAGTCCTGTAGTACAGATAATGGTGTGCTGGTAACTGGCTATCTAAATTTTTTAAAAAGCCCCGACTTGTATCATTTGCTGATTTGTGTGCTGTAAATACTCCTACAATGACTGATTTCAAACTGCCAGTAGAAACTGGCTCACAAAATTCCTGCACATTTAACCATTAGCTTAGTAGGAGCCAGCTCCAGGACACTACTAATTTCAGGATCTCTAGCATCTCTGGCCCTGCCCTCTAAATGCCATTTGGGTTCCCCAAATCACTGTGACAATAAAGAAAAGTCACCACAAGTTTCCAAAACACCCCTGTCAGGGGCAGTATCACCCCATTGAGAACCAGTACACTCAACTCTGATGATATTTCTGGTATAAATGACTAACCAAATAGTAGGTACTTTACCTAGGTTGGTCTTTGTGATACTCACCTCCTAATGTGGAGCCTCTGGCTGCCTATTCTTGCTGCTCTAGGGAGAACGGAACAGCACTGATCAGTAGTACTGCAGTGCTGAGCTAAGCCTATAGAGCCGGTCTGGCTGTGCCCCATGGGGGTCAGTGGGGAGTCCCTCCACTCATACTTCTCAGACGTGATGAGCCCAGGACAGCCAGTGTAGTGACACTCACACCATCCTGCCTCTCAGCTTTGATCAGACGCAGGAGCACCACTCAGATAAGGGAGATCCATACTTCAGAGCTGTCACCTGCCTGCGAGTCCATTGCCTCTTTTCTCAATGCAGTTCATCACTTAAGAAGTTAACAAATGGCAAAATAACTGAAGCGTGTCTCTTTTTCTCAATGTTGGAGTGGCTGTGCAGCATGGATTATGAAGGCAGAGTAGCAAATGCCTATATAATGGAAAAGTGGAATCAATTCACAGGGCCCCAGGAAAATTGGAAGCAAGCTGTAGAAATAGTTCTAAATACTGATAAAAATGCATGCAGTAGACCCAGTTAGTTTTATTAAAGTAGAACTTTTGGCTTAAGACCTGTGCTTTAAAGGACTAAAGGATCTTTTCATTTCTGCCTTAGTGTACACTTGACTCTGAAGTGGCTGTGAGAGTGGGTGGAGAGTTCTTCTTTGACCCTCAGCCTACAGATGCCTCTAGAAACCTCGTGTTGATTGCAGGAGGAGTTGGAATTAACCCCCTGCTTTCCATCCTGCGGCACTCAGCAGATCTCCACAGACAGCGGGCAAACAAAGGAAGTGGATATAAGATAGGAACAGTAAAACTATTCTACAGTGCAAAAAATACTAGTGAACTCCTGTTTAAGGTAAGGGGGGAAGTGTATGTTTCATAGCTTGCTGTAAGCAAACTTGTATAGTGGTATTAATTGTTCATGAAAATTTCTTCTCGAGGTTCATTTTCTCTGCAAATATTCAAACAAAAGGCTTGGCAAGGTTTAATCATGTTGAAATGAAAATTAACTAACACATCTTACCCAGGACAATTAAAACTGCTAGTAGTGAGGAGGCTTCCAGTTCAGTGACAGGAAAGGGTAGGTTTTGGTGGGATGGAATCTGGAGGTTGGACAAACAGACGTCACCATGGCCTGGAGTTTCTGCAGAGAGTCTAGAGAGCCTAAAAGTGGGCTTGAGTGTCACAGGAGTAGGTAAGACTTAAGACAGTTCAGACCCAGCTGCGTAAATGAAACCCCATCAGTTGCATCTGTTGAAGCTGAGTACATTTGATGGGGAAGGCTTTCACTGGGGATTGCTTTTGCAGCTGCAGGAGCGAACAAAAGAACAGAAACAGTTAAAAGACACAACTGTGGTCAGTGAAACTGCTGCTTAATTGCCAATGCTTGAGAAAAAGGAAAAAGAAAAAACTCCCGGAGAGTTGGTAATATGCTTGTTAGCATATTCAGATTTCAATTAAAGCCAAATAGCCCCTCTGTACTTTGAATGCTCTGGCCTGCTAGGCTGCAAACAATATCTCTCTAAGTAGAGAGCAAGAGCGGCAGACGTGTGCAGAATGGGAGTCGAGGTTCAGCGTCAATGGTTGTGCACATCTGTTTTTATTTTTTAAAATTGTAGTGTGACCAAATATGTTTGACATTCCAGAAAAATATCCTCGATTTAGTAAATGAATTTCCTGAGAAGATTGCATGCAGTTTGCATGTTACAAAACAGACTACACAAATCAGTGCAGAACTCAAGCCATATATCACGGGTGAGTCCCTAAACATATTTTGACTATCCCCATGCAGTTATTTAATGGACATGCCAGTTGGTTGAATGTAGATGCTTTATTGTTGAGAGTTGCTGGTTGGGAATGTCACTACCTGGGGAACTGGGATGATTCATCATGGAAAAATAAGGAGATAATTTAGTTGGATTTACTTATTATGTTCAGGTTTCTACTGCCCATATTAAAAATTTGTTTTCCACAGTTTTTAGGGGGCCTTTGTGTTATCACTGTAGTGTACATATAAAGAATTTATATTCCAGCCTTGACTGAATTGATTGCATTTGCCATTAATGGTCAGTTAAATTACTCATGATTCCCCGTTTGGAAGGATTTTTATAGAAGTTTATTTACTTTGGTAAAGGCAGTTTTGCATGTCCACCAAAGAACAGTAAGCTAGCTGGCCCTTTCTGAAGTGTGCATTGTGATTAGCTTCCCACTTTGCTTGCCATGGGTTAGCCAGCCTGGAGATGCCCCCTGCTTGGGTCTGGCCCAGGATGCCAACAGAAGCCATTGTGTGAATGGCTCAAGACTAGACTCATTGAGCTTGAGTTACTGCAAATAAACACTGTGGCCGAATTGTGGTTAGTGCTTCCTCATTTACGAATACCAACATATCTGGCTTAATTTGGTGTTTATTCTTTTTGGTAGAAGGAAGAATAACAGAAAAGGAGATAAGAGATCATATTTCAAAAGAGACTTTGTTCTATATTTGTGGCCCACCTCCAATGACGGACTTTTTCTCCAAGCAATTGGAAAATAGCCATGTTCCCAAAGAACATATTTGCTTTGAGAAGTGGTGGTAGAAGCAAGCAAAGGCAGAAAAGAGAAAGAGGTGGTGAGATTTTCTCAGGATAGTAAGAGAGAGATGTCATTGTGGTAAGATGAATTGATCTCTGCTTAGTTGTCTTCTTTTTTAAGGCTGTGAAGTAAGCGACCAGCTGGAGAATAAAAGAAAAGTCAGCCGACAGACTTAAATGGTAAACTTTTTCCAAGAACCTCATTGATCAAACTATATTTTACTATATTGATTTTCTTTATTAATAACTATCTCATCATGTACCATGAATTGATTAATATAGATTTTCTTTTTCCCTTAGGCAATTGAACGATATATACTTAACATTAAATCATAGGAAAATACGGTTTTGTATGTGAATTGTGGGCTAGCTTTAAATTATTTGACAGCCATCTATGTATCTTATGTTCGATAAACTTATAATTTAAATACATTCTTAATAATTTTACTTTGAAAATTCTTCAAATTTAATGCCTTTGTTTACTTTACCATGGCCTGCAGCCTTATTTGGACCATCAAGGTTGAATTTGGAAATGGAAAATTGTTAGGAACACTGCTTTAGGGTGTTGAATATCCAGCATATTTGCTTTTTTTGTTAATGAATATCCTAAGTATGTATCCTAATTGTTAGTTTCTTCTCAAATGAAACCCTTTCTATGTCTTGGCTGCCTGCCTTAACACGCTATTGGAGGCGGATTCTTGTTTGGGACAAAGGCATTGGTAACCGTTGTGTTCCATGTTGAATCTGTCTTCAGTGACTGCGCTGGCTGGCTGTAGAAATGTACTTAGGATTGATTAGGGTGTATAGAGCCATTTCCAAATCCTGCTTCTCTACTTTTTATTTCATTCTTTCACCAGGGTTGTTCTTGGCACGAGCAGCTACTTAACACGTACTTGTTGAATGACTGAAAGAAAGCAACTAATGTTTCAACTCTTGCTGAGTCTGGGTTTGGGAGGCAATCCCCCAAGGTAGATAGAAAGAATGGTGGAGCCTCATCCCAGAGCTGCTCTGATGAAAGTGCTAGAAAGCAGACTGTAATTCTTACCTTTGTTTAGATTTTAAAAATCCAAAAGAAGCCCATCTGCTAAGGTGAGACTATTCTTTTTGTGATGAGCAGCCTTGGGCCCTAGGCTGCCTGCTTGGGGAACACAGGAGGGTGAAGGGAGCCTGGGAAGAAGGATAGATCAGTACTGGAGAGCCAGGAGCTTCAGTTGAGATTCCCTTCTTGAGCTGATGAGAGAAGACAGGTTGCACTTTCTTATCTCTGTTGCTGCAGGCCTGCCAGGGACTTCTGGGCTTAAACACAGTTGATTCACAGGACCTTCTGAAGATGGCTGGTATCACCACTCTAGCCTCTGCCCTGTTGAGTTTTGTCAAGTTTTAAGCAGAGATCATTTGTCAACTATTTTGATCCCAGATTTGAATTCAGGGAAGAAGGGAGGAGCCATTGGTCTGATGGGAATATCATAGTCCATTCAAGGAAATGATCACAAGTATTTCAGAGGTGAGAGGAATGTGTGACGCTCTGGGCTGCTACAAGGAGCCCTGACTTATCGATTGGCCCCAGAGTGTCCTGGCTGAGTATTTAAGAGGTGTAGGAGGACAGCACAGTGAGATTCAGAGATGTGGAATCATCAAGGGGCTCTTCTGTCAGCTGGTGAAGGCAGTGAGCAGAGAAGACCCACAGCTATGGGGAAAGTGCCCAGCCCAGGCCTCTCTGTGCCGGGAGTAGAGGTACAAGGTGAGCATCTTCAGTGCACCTGGGGTGGGAACATAGTGAGGTACCACCCATTACCTCTGTTCAGTCAGCACCATGGCTGTGTGCCTGCTCTTGTCAGAGAGCAAGGGCCACCTGTCTTGGAGAACCCAGCTCTACCTGCCACCTCACTGTCACTGTCCGTGAACTGCTAAGGCTGTTCCTTTCAGCTCTGTCATTCTGGTGCTAAGTGGTAAACAGCATTTTCTGGTCTGCTGGCCAGTAATGTCCTGTTGTCCTTGTCTGCCAGGTCCGTCCATATCTCTTCAATACTCAAGTTGAGTAACTCCAGCCAGGGTGGCTTGGAATTTATAACCTGGTGGCCCAGAGTATAGACTAGAGAAAGCCCTTGAGCCAGACTGCCTGGATTCACATCTCACCTATACCAATTACTAGATGACCTTGAGCACATCACTTAACTGCTTTATGCCTCATTTATTAATAAAATTACATACTTGCAGCTAATTGTAAAGGGGATCATGCTACTACCTACCTCATACGGCTGTTACAGGGGATTCAATGTGATCATACATATGCGGTGCTTAGAGCACTGCGTGAGCATGTTATTGTTAGTATGCTATTCCTTGTCCTATTCAGAAAGGATTTCAAGAGGCTGGATATCTTAGATTTGGTCTACTGACTTGCAACCTTTATGTGGGTAGGGTCCTGTCTTGTTTAGTGTGCTGTGCTTGGCACATAAGAAGTACTTCATAAATACTTGTTATGTGGGTGAAAGGGCCTGCCAAGAGCTGATGGGCTGGATTAAAGGACTTCTTAAGTATCTCCTGGCCCTGTGAGTTTGAGAAGTTATTTATTCTTGTGACATGAGACCCTCTCACAGTCTACTCAAGATATTAGGTTAGTCTGATATATGTGTCTTTCTCAAATTTTAAATGTTAGTATGAGCACCATTGCTCACCAAAAAATGGAGCAAACACCTGGCCTTCCCTGTAAGTTTACCATCAAAGGGGCTTTCAGTGAGGCAGGGAGCACTTTATCACCAACAGGTTGTCTGTAGGTGGATGGGTGGATGTGGAGTCCTAAGATAAGGATGTTCCAAGGACCCTGGTTCTGGTCAGTGTCCTCTACTTTAAAAAAACAGTCCTGTGAAAAATTTCAGACACACCAAAGTAGGGGAGATAGTAAAGTGACTTCATATGCATCCATCACCTGGTTTCAGTGACTATCAACATTCTGCTGTTTGTTTTTGTCTGCCCTCAACTTCTTTGTGTTGTTGCTGTTGTTTCTGCTGGTGTGTTTTAAAACAAATCCTAGAAATTATATGTCACTTGTAAATTCTTCAGTATATAATATCTCTAACAGATACATCACTTCAACATGACCACAGTGTCATCATCATGCTCAACACAAGTAACAATGATACTTCCTTAATACCATCTAAGTCCCTTCGGTGTTGTGTTCCTCTCCCGTGGCCTCCAAAGTCCACACATTGCATTAGGTTTATAGGGTTTTTAATCAATTCCACCCTCCTTCCACTCTTCTGTATTTCAGGTAAACTGGTAATTAGACCTAGAGCTTATTTATATTCAGATTCAAGATTTTTTGTTGCAAGACTACATTATAAAGTGGTATACTTCTGTTACATCATATGAGACACATAACGTCTGTCCCACTTCTAATGTTAAGATGGATCGGTGGTTTCAGCTTTTGTCAGCCTGATTCATCCAATATTAAAGGTCTCCATCAAACTTCCACCTAATTGTTTAAGCAGCCATTGATCATTGCCTCTATCTATTTTCTTATTAAGGATTAATTATCCATTTCTATTCTTCCCACATTTATTGCCTGTGATTCTTCTATAAAGAACTGTCCCTCATCAGCTTGGATTACCTGAAATGAGTCTGTAAAGGAAAGGTAGGATCAATGCTTGATTTCTTTCCTTTTATTCATCAGTTAGCACTGTGGTCCCTGGGCCCGTTGCCTGCCCCCACTCCCACCATGTCTGTGGAAAAATTGTCTTCCATGAAATTTGGGAACCGGGTTGTATAGTAGGAGTGGCTGGCAGGCGAGAGAAGCTTCCCCATTGCTGGCATCACCGCCTGAGCTCCGCCCTGTCTGTTGAAAAATTGTCTTCCACAAAACCAGTTCCTGGTGCCACAAAGGTTGGGACTGCTGAATTTTAGCATATTATGAGTTGATATTATTTAAAGTATCATTATGAACTCAAGGCTTTTATAGATTTGGTTGTTTTTATCTATTGCAGTTGATTGTTTGATGCTCACTTGTCTCAGGTTGCGCCTGCTGTGTCAGTGGCCCATACTAAGTGATGGGGGCTGATGAGGTTTTTGGCTCTTAAGAAGTATAAAAAGTGCCCTAATAAATAGGTAGGGGGAAAAGGAGATGAGTATAATGTTAGAAAGCCACATGAAGAAAGCGCTTCATGGAGGACAGACTGGTGAGCTGTGTGATGCTGCTGACAGGACAGGAAATATGGTTCCGATGAGTGACTGCCGAGTGTTGACTTGGCAACTGCAAGGTCATTGGAGATCTCGATAAGATGGACGGTGGGAGTGAAAATGCTGGAGTGGGTGTTTAGGAACAATTGGGAGGAAAGAAATTAGAATGAGTATAGATAATAGTTCCAAAGAATTTTACTTACAAAGAGAAGGAGAAAGATGGAGTGGTAGCTGGGAAGGGAAGTGGGGTCAAGAGAACATCATTTATTTTACTCATTGGTTTATTGGTTTGTTTTTTAAACTTCATTTTGAAATAAATAATTTTAGATTTAAAGAAGAGTTGTAAAGTTAGTACAGGGTTCCAGTATACCCTTCACTTAGCTTCCTTGAATGTTTAACATAACTATAGTATAGTTATCAAAACTGAGAAATAAGCACTATAGTTAAATTGGTACAGTACTATTAACTAGACCACAGTTTTTCTAAAATAAGAGAAATGACAGCCTGATTATATGAAAAGCTATGGAAGAGTCATTCAGTGGGACTACAGTTGGGAAAGTTACAACTTTTTCTAGGGGATGACAAATTGATTAACTGTCGTTTATTGAGCATCTGCTATGTGCAGTCATTGAGCTAAACATTGAAGATGGGAAAGTATAAGACAAAGGTTATCTTGAGCAAGTTTTAAATACTTCGGGAAATAGTATTTTTTATGAAGCTGAAGAGTGATAAATATCTTCTAGAAAGAACTGTATTACACACTGAGAACATTTCAACAAGATTAAAAGTGGAAATGTTCTGGAGAAAAATGTGTTTTTTGCAAGCATCACTGGTTGAAGGAGAAGCTGTAGAGGACGGGTGACTAAGAGTCACTAGAGCGAT